ATTTATAATTCATTCTCTTTATTTAAGTTTAATCACCCCTCTCCCAATATTATATGCTTATAGTGATTCTCAGTGAAACCCACTATCCAGAAACGCTGTAACAATATTTATAAATTATATAATAATTACAAAAATATTTATTAATAAAAACAAAATATTTAGTTATATTAAATAGATATTTATTTATTAATAAAAAATATAAATTATTATTATAAATAAAATTATATAATATATAATCTATAAATATTTATATAATAATTTATATTAATAAATATTTATAAAAATAAAAATAAAAGTATATTAATTATATTTAAGTAAAGTTTAAATTTTTAATAAAAAATATAAAAAATAATTTTAAATTATAGTTTTAATTTCTAGTTATAAATTTATTATATTCAAAAAATTTAGATTTAAAAATTAAATCTGAAATTTAAATATTTTGCTAATATAAAAATTCCAAAATTTACTTTATATAATTTTATAAAAATTAATTTAATTATAATAATTATTATATATAGTAAAAGTAATAATGAATATATTTTTTGCTTATATTTTAATGAGTAATTATTCAAAACTTATAAAAATTTATAGATCTATTCTTTTTAAAATTATTTATAAATATTTTTAATAAGCAATTTTGAAAATAATTTTATAAAAATATTTATAATTTAAAAAATTTAGTTCATTTTTATTTAATAAATATTATTTAAAAAAGATTTTATTTTAATAAATTTTTTAATAAAATATAGTAAAATTAACTAAAAATAAATAAATATATTTTTATAAAATTATTTTTAAAATAACTTATTAAAAATATTTTAACCAATTTTTATTCCAATTTAAATATTAAAAACTTTAATTTATCACTTTTGATACAAAATTTTACTTTGTTAATATGCTTTGTAATTAATATTAAGAAACTTGTTTCTAATATTTTAAAAAATATATTTATTTTCATAATTTTTGAATGCTTTCTCATTAAAATATAATTAAATAATACTTTTTTATTACTTTTGCCAAAACTATAATTTTAATATAATTATTAGCAATATTTATCTTATATTATAGTTTATAAGATTCTAAGAAAAATATTTAATTTATTCGAATTCAAAAATAACAATTATTTTAATTTATTTATTTATTTTATTAATATTAATTTTTCTAAGAATTATTATGATTAGTTTTATATTTTTTATTCTAAAACTTTAATTAGAATATTCAAACTAATATTTTATATAAAATTATTTAATAATTATAAATAGAAATCTAAATAAACCTAAAAATATAACTAAATTAAAAATTAATATTATTTATAATTTTGAATTATGATATAGCAATATTTGTTATCTTACTTTAAAATAAATTATATATATTATTGGATAATTATAAATTGGACTTTATTATATTAAATGTTTAAATTAACATGATTATTTTTTGTTTGTCAAATTTTTCAAAATAATTTTATATTTTTATATCAAATTCTAATTGATAAATATTTTTTGTTGAATTTCAATTAAATATTCGGATATTAATCTCTTATTTGAAATTCAAAAAAGAATATAAAAATGTTTTAAAATTCTGATTGATATTTATATATACTGACACGTTTAGTTGATTTTGTTTAAGCTAATATAAATTATTTTTAGCAACTAAAAATAATTTATTTAGTTATTAAGATTATTGCAATAAATTCTTAAAATTGCATTATTTATAGTTTCTAGAAATAATGAATTATAGCTGTCTAAGTAGTTACATTGCCCGTAGTAGTTCTTCACACGCAGTTATATTGTCTTTGGATACCTGAACTAGAATTTTCGGTTTCATGGATGCGGAACTTATTAAAGATCTGATTATTGTAAAACTCGTTTAGTCAATGCGATCGGGGATGCGTAGTTGAAAGAAGTGGTTATTAGGTAAGGGAGCGACGCTAACCAAGACAAAACAGGAAAGAGATAGATTTTAATAGTTGAGAGTGAGCAAGATTTATTGAAAACGTTTAATTATTTATCGAGCATAAAAGAACTTGATGAGGAATTTAGAGAAGAGAGAAACTTCCTCTATTTAAATGAAAAGTTGTCGAGCCTCCTGTATGAGAGAAGAAAAATCAGTTAAAGGAAGGAAAATGACATTGTTGTTTTCACTCCTTTCAGCACTTGCCCAATTGTAAATTGGTGTTTCTTGCATTATAATGTGAATTTTATTAAATAATTTAAAAAAGAACTTTCTCGAATGAACTTGTATGTCAGATGACAATATATTTTTGTCAACTTGGGAAATTTAATCTCCCCTTTCCAATAAAGCATACAGATCCATAATGAGCATTACGTAGTGAGATTTTATCAGCTGATATCTCAGTTTCAGCTACATTTTAAGTTTGTTGTAGAGATGTTAAAAAGCTCACCGAAGTCGACTTGGCCCGGACAATTTTGAGTCGAGTTTACTCGGAAGGATCATAAAAGACAGTTCCAAAAATCACGTGACAATCAGGGGCTATCTTATACACGTAATTATTTCTCGAGAAACAATGGTATTAAAGAACGCCGAACAAAAGGATCTTCAAGTAATTTAAAGAATGTACATGTACTTTGTTTCAAAACAAAGTCAATTAAAACTTAAATAAAGAAAATTATTTGTTTAATTACAAAAAAGATGCTGATTTTAATTATATAAATTAATATACAAGTCTTGTATTGTAACATATATTAATTAAATCTATTAATAAAGAGGTGAGATTCTCATTAATAAAAAATATATATAAAGCATTTTTCTCGTCTGTTTGCTGATATTATTATAGAATAAATAAATTTCCTCTATATTGGCATCATGATTTTGTTTGCTATAGAGATTTTGTTATATAAAATGTGGTTGACTTTATCAGTGACGATACTCTGTCACATGATGAATGAGTCTGAACTCGAACCTGACTTTAGACGGAGTCATAATTAAAACTCAACTCTAGAGTCGAGTTGAACCAGACCGGACTTTTAACATCTATAATTTGTTGACAATAGAAAAACCAGTCAATAAATATTTAATAAATATAAGCGAATTATATCAAAAAGCATAGATAGATATTAGGTATAAATTATTTCATCAAAAGGTATCAATTATATATTCTTTTACCACACATACGGAGGAAACCAAATCATAGGTATATTCGTTAGTATACAATTCAAATTAAAAAAATTACGGATAGTAGACTCTTCACACAGATGTAAGCAATTAATAAAGCGTTTAAATTGCAAGCAATCAAAAAAAATATTTATTAAAATAAGCTAATGTTACCAAATTCCCGGGCAAATGAATAATAAGAATATCTATTAGTTACTAATGCGCTAGTATTTTATTTCCTAAGTTTGCTCCTCAAACCACTCATAATGCCGATATTTCCTACGTTACTGTTGTTACTAACATTGCTGGCGTTCGTAGAAAGTCCTCCCATGCAGTTATATTGAGGACCAGTATTAGAATTTAAAGTTTCATAGAAACAGAATTTATTAAAATTCTGATTATTGTAAGCTCGTTCAGTCAATTCAATCGGAGCTGCGTGGTTGAAAGGAGTGGTAATAAAGACGAGAATGGTGACGCTAATCAAGATAAAGAAGAGACCGGATTTTGCCATTTTGAATAGTAGTTGAGTATAAGTTGTTTGTAATTATATTGAATATAAAAAGAAGAACTTGATGAGAAATTAGGAGAAGAGAGAAACCTCCTCTATTTAAATGAAAAGTTGTTGAGCCTCCTGAATAAGGGAAGAACAATTAGTTAAATTTATCATAAAGGAGGGAAAATGCCATTGTTATTCTTATCCTTTTACATTATTTTTTTCTTACATTATAATGTGAAGTTTAGCAAATAATTTCAAAAAGGACTTTCTTGAGATTGATGAAGTATTATTTTAAGCGATTAGTGATTAATCATTACATCACTTGACACTGTTTGCTTTGAAATATTATTTTAAGTGATTAGTGATTATATCACTTGACACTGTTTGCTTTGAAATATTTTAAATGATTAGTGATTACATCACTTGACACTGTTTGCTTTGAAATATTATTTTAAATGATTACATTACTCGAAATACCTTAGTTTATAATCTTAAAACGGAATATTCATCACAATATTAGAAAATCATTTATATAGAAAATTAATTTTTAATAATCTCCCCTCCAATAAATATTTGAAATAGATTTTTTTAAGCATACGTAAGCATTACGTACTGAAATTTTATCAGCTGATATTTCAGTTTCGGCTACATTTTTTTATTGGAATTTAAGGATAAAAATAAAAATTATTATATGTAGATTTAGTTTATATTATATTTTATACTGTTTTAATGATCTCTCTTTTTCCTTATAAAGAGTGTAGTATTTCTCTTCAAAGAGTTTTTTATAACTCAATAACAAACTATTTTTGTAAAATAAATAATAACATTATATATAGATTTTAGTTTACAAGAAAAAGAGATATTATTCTTCCTACTCTTTATAAATACAATCTCTCTCTAAATGCATGCCCATGTCTAATTAGTCATATGATCCCGGCGAATTGCATTTAAGGAGATTTAAATAACAAATAAAAAAATTATATAAACTTCCAATCAATACCAATATATTATTTATATGTAGAATAAAATAATGTGTTTTCATGTTTGTTGACAATAGAAAAACAGACAGTTTTCACAATTATGAAATAAGCAAATGATGTCGAAAGCATAGATTACTTCATCAAAAGGGTCAATTATTGTTATACAATTCAAAAATTTCTTCAATTAAAAAAATACGGATAATCAACCCTCCACACAGATATAAGCAATTAACAAAGCATTTAAGTCACAAGCAATCAAATAAATTTATTTAACAAATATAATAACAACACTTTTAATAGCTAATGTTACCAAGTTCCCGAGCAAATGGCAAAAGAAGATACAGAATGAATAATTAGAATATCTATATAGTTTTCTTTAATTGAAGATACAGAATGAATAACTGTAATATCTATTAGCTATTTTGGTAAGGGCCGAAGTTTCCTACGTTAGTGTTATCCCCAACTTTACTATCATACGCATTAAGTCCTCCTTGGCAGAGATATACGGCATTATCTGTAATCTTAGTCTTACCATCATTATCAATAAAGCAGTATCTGATGTCTTTCTGAGTTTGATGATCTCCTCCATCTTTTTTGTGGTCTTTTTTATCATCTTTTTTATCATCTTTTTCGTAGGATCGTTCAATCGGAGCTGCGTTGTTGAAAGGAGTGTTTACTAAGATGAGGAGAGCGACGCTAACCAAGATAAAGCAGATGAGAGCGGATTTTGCCATTTTGAATAGTTGTTGAGAGATTTGTTGAAAACGTTAAGTTGTTGGTAATTATCAAAGTTTTTACTTTTTATTGAATACAAAAGAAGACTTTGATGAGGAATCTGGAGAGGCGAGAAACCTCCTCTATTTAAATGAAAATTTTTGCCGCAGTTTATCAATAAAAATCAAATTGCAGCGAAGACATATAACAGTTTAAAGAGTCTTACTGAATAAATTAACATAAAAAAAATTGAATTTATCGTAACCGCTGTGAAGACATATGACATACTTTTCCGTTATAATAGTTCTTTTCCAATAATAAAGTTCTCGTAAATTTTTAAGAAAAAGATGATAATAAATTTAAAAGCATAATAATTTTTTATTAAAGACCCGAACCCTTCAGCTTATCCAGGTTGACTACGTAATAATTATTTTAGAGTTCTCAGGATAAATTGTAAATTAAAGTTCATTATTATCTCTTAAATTATGTCGCACATTATAATGATAAATTGTAAATTAAAGTTCATTATTATCTTTTAAATTATGTCTCACATTATAATGTGAAAAATAAGACATAATAAGACGACACGATAATTTAAAAATTTTTCGTTAAGAAATTTTTAAGGAGAACAACATTGTTTGATTTGATCATAGCCACTTGACATGCTTTATTATCAATCAAAAGATGATACCCGTGAATGTAAATCATAATGCCTTTTGCTATAATGTTCAGGGTAACTTTAACAATCCTGACACTAGAAATTTAATCACATGCTAATAACGATAGTAAAATTCTCCAATAACGATAACTAAAGCATCACTGAAATTTTATCAGCTGATATCTGAATTTTTAGCATCAAAAAATGTCGAATCACATACGTGTATTAAAGCTAATAAAAAGCCATTACACAATTCTAGGTTCGGGACCACCGCTTTTTTTCATGTGTAAAACCGCGCGGTTCCAAAAGGTTTGGCATATTAAAAAAAAAAACTACGATTCCGAACCGTTAACATCCTACACAATGCTAATGTCATTATGTAATTATACAGACAAATAATTTGCTAAAAAAAACTTAACTTCTCGATTTCCGAGTGTAAAAAAGTAAGCAAACTTAGACAATTGTTAACTAAGAACGAGGTAATCATCAAACAAGTAAATAATACATTTCTTTGCATCAACTTAATTATAAAAAAGCAATAAGTTGCGTTATCTAAAACTATCATATGTCATAGCTACAATTCTCATATTGTTTGATAATAATTGATATATACTCTCACTCAGGATTCCTTATCTAGTCGTCTTCCTTATTCAATAAAAAGGAAACAAAACTTGATACTCACAAACAAACAAAGGTCCTACTCTCAACGCTATTTGAAATGACAAAATCAGGTCTCTTCAGCTTGTCCAGTGTCGCTCTCCTCGTCTTTGCAACTACTCCTTCTAACCACGCAGCTCTGGGCAAAGCTCTCCGAGCCAGATAACTGTCAGCCCCTCTTCCTACGGAAATGAAAATTGTGACACTCCTACGAAAAAAGTTACTACCGAACAGAAAAACTCTTCCAATAACAAAGTCAGCGGTGGCAGCGACAACAAGCACAAAATTACATCTTATCTGGTTCGAACATCGGTTACTGTCTGCCAACCCATTAATCAATAAAATTGTTCTTTTTCTTTCTTGTATCTTTTTACTTTTGCCCAGGAATCTTTTAAGAATTTTGTTTTCATCACATTGTTTTAAATTAGAAGTTTAGATAAAGTTTTATTAGAATTTTAAATTTTTGGTTTGACTGCTTGTTTTAAATTCTTGTTTTTAATTGTATTTACAGTACTCGAAATAAATGTCATTTATCAATCTCGCTAGCTTTTCGCCACAAGAAATACAAGATTTAAAAAACTAAATTATTTGATTGTAAATATCTTTAATCGAGCTGAATAATACACGTTATTTTAGAGAACTGAAATTTATAAACTAAAAGTTGCAAAACTGAAGAATCACCTGTTTTGCGAATTCGAGACCACTTTTGCCATATCCAAGAATACTTCGAAAACTTTCTTATTTTCTCTTGGTCTTGTAACCCTTTACGATCAGTTAATTGCGCCCGTTAGTATTTGTGACGTCAAATTGATCTTTGTCTTGGAACAAAAATTTTGTATATTCCTGTGGCATTCGAGTGAATATTTGAAGTAAGACTAGTCGCGTAAGCTCATGGCATCCTGTTATTCGAATTGGAAATTGGTGCACGAAGTGCAGTGTGAGAAATAGAACTTTGAAGAATTGACTGATGTTTAGGAGTGTGTGAAGAAGGTTGACAATATTTGCGATAACTTGACACTCATTTTCTGTCAAGTCATTTTTGACATAATTTTTCTTATGTATCCAATCACTATTTATCTTCTCATTGAGAGCAGCTTGAAGTGATCGAAGCCATGATCACGCGACTTCTTCGAATAGTTAGCTGCCATCTTTGTATTAAACTAGTCATCCTTCTGCTCTTCCCCTCAAATCCCAACATTCCAAATCAGTTTTTTGATCAATATTTAACATATCGTCGCATTTTTCTCAATTGTCATTTCTTCAATAATATCAATTGTTTATTTCTTCCTCTTGCAATCCGACCAACTGCACAATAATAGTATTGACAGCTTCAATTGACCTGTTGTCTCTCTGAATTGCATCTGCTATCCAAGTACAGAGATTGCAGACTTTCCACTTCCATGACTCTGTTATTGTCCTTTTTCGAAATTGCCTTGACCCATTTTTTGAATTAGGTGCAAGGTGAAGTCAAAGAATACGCAAAAGATAGCCAAGAGATAGATCCCTCCCACATATTGCCAATGTATTGTTCTAGAACTTGAAATCAAGATCCTTGATAAAAATTTTGTTTTGGTTTTATGGTACTTAATCTCGATCTATTCTTGTCCATATCGTCGCCATTCCCATTTCTATTAGGAAAATACGTAGAATGTTTTTTTTCGCAGAGTAACGTTAACCCGAAATTAATCTCTTCAGAAATATGGCTTTTAATTTAAAAAAAGATAGACCAAAGGAATTTGTAAAGTTAGTATATGTATTAATCCATAACGATAATATTTTTTGACCTTATGAAAATCGAGATCTACGTACGTGAATTTTAAAAATCTATTCGACTAAAACATAAAAAACAAGTTTAATTTTGAATTTAGCAATATTCAACAAAATGACACAGTGGAGTGGTTGTTATCGTTATTAATACAAATGTCAATTGAAAGCATAAATGATACGTATTGGAAATTCAGATCTCAATCAATTGGCTAGTGGCACATAAATTTGTCACGTTTAAAGCATTACGTGATTCTACAATCCCTAACACTTCACGTTCGAATGAATTTTTTCTAATGTCCAACAATAGATTATTATACCAAGCTAGATCCGATTCTTGCATGGAAGCCAGACCAACGCATTCTTTCAATCGTTCGTTTTCGCAATAGTTTTCGGTACTCGACAAATTAGCATACGTCAATTTAAACTCGTTGGCGGAAGTGGCAAGTAATTTATATCGGAGCGGCGAATGCTGGATATATTTTTCCGAAACCGCTTTGCTGATCAGTTGTAGACGAAATTCGTCATTCCAATCGTTGCGTTGCAGGTCGGAATTCGCTTGGACGATTAAAAGCGCTTCATTCGAAGTGGGAGCTTTGCGAATTTTAGTGCGAATTTCCTCATCAGTGAATCTTTGTGCTTGGACTTGTACATTAAATAATATGTGCATTAGCAAATGAAGATTATCATTGGAAGTATGTAATGAATTACTACCATAATGTTCGACACTAGACCAGATTTCATTATCGATCATTACTGAGGCGAAGTAGCAAGCACAGAATCCGTGATTAGCGTGGTCGTTCTTTGCATCATTACAAAGATCGATGATGAATTCAGTCGCATTGATCGAAACAAACTATTAATATTGATAATAAACAAGATGTAAATTTAGTTACGATCTCATTTTCCCTTTGAAATATCAAAGTTATCTTTCACCTTGTATAAATACAAAACGATCAAGTCAATAATTTCTGTCGATTCCGGCTCTAAGCTATTCGAGAAAATGGTATCGTTGGCTCTCGCGAAGTAACATCGCTTCTCTATATCTCCCTTTGATTCCTTGTACACGCCAAACCGCGCAACAATTATTTCGACTGAATTCTTATCGCACCAAAACCGAATATTTCCCAAAAAAGAAGTGATAATGGACGTGGGATATTCTTGATCCGCGCTCACCATTACAGAAAACTTTTTCTTTTCCATCCAAGAATTGACAGCACATTTTATGACAAAATTTGTGACTTCCTTCGCATGCCGTTCTTGATGGTCGGGATAATTTTTGAAAATTGGTTGAATACCAAGTGGTTCAAGCCTTTGTTGAAGTTCCTCTTGATTGTCAAAGAATACAGAATTGTTAAATGTGATAAAAAGAATGGTCGAGGGGGGAAAGCTTCTAGAGCCAATGTCTGGTGGTAGAAGCAAAGTGCATTGTTCATTTGAATTTTTTTCTTGTTGTTGCGATTCGTCATCGTCAGTTTTGTCAGCAACCTTGTCATCATCGTCGTCGTCGTCAACAACAACAACATCATCATCATCAATTAGAGCACTTTTTTGAATTAGTCTCGCTTCGTCTATCGCTCGTAATATTTTTGTTCTTTGTAGATACGTTAATTTTTTTTTCGTTTTATCATTTTGGTATTGTTGTAGAGAACTTGCTAGAATATTTAAGAATTATATTAGATAAAATTTATATTGACTTTCAACAATTCAGAATAAGCCTACGTTCAGCAACATAACCACCGAGTTTCGCTAAAATCTCATCAGGAGTCAGCTTTGTCAAATCAATTCCGCTCTCAACAATCTTCTTCACAATCGCTTCAATCGGTTCAGTCGCCAATATACGTTTCTCCGGCGATTCTGATTCTTTTGCTTTACTGCCCCTGACTTTGATAATTTCAGCTTTCGAATGATCATTGATTTCACCTTTCAAATGACCATTGATTTCTAATTCTTTTAATTTGCTTGATAACTGCTGCTCGTCTCTTACATTCCCCGTTACAATATTTACACTATTATTTAGTTTAATTTTTTTTACTGTACTGCTTTCTGACTGAACATAATTAAATTCTTCATTTTTATCCGACATTTTTCTCTCTTCTTTTTTGTTCAAAATTAGTTAAATTGAAATTCGATATAGAAAGAAAGAACGAGTTTTCGTACGATGGATTCATGCTGTGTTATCAATTAGTGGATCGCATGACTTGATAGACAAAATTTACGTACGTAATTACTATTTGCTATCATTATGACTACATTATTATTACGTGCATGTACATGTGTTTACATCGCTTGTTTTATCATATTATCGCTGCCACGTATGAATCCGACGTAATAAGCTATAGAATTATTATTAAATGTGATTGGGATCGCTGTGATGTTATTAATGAATGGCTAATAAAAAAGCTAATTAATAAAATATGTCATACCGATACAGTTTGACTTTGATTCATCCCTACCTCGCCGTTCTTTCGATAATTGACAATAGAAGCCTGACATTCTTGCCCTGCATTAATTTTATTTCTCATATGATAAACTGTCGCGCTATCAGTATAAGTACGAATTGATCCAGGTGTGACGTGTCCACCGGGAGCTTGTAGAAATCGACAATTCCTGCCGAGAACTTCTGAACACTTGTATCCGGTTAGAATTTCGAATTGGTCATTGACATAGACAACTGGAGAATCAGGCTTTAGTGCATCGACTGTTTTGGCGTATAATGAAATTGAAACTATTTAGAATGTTGAGTAATCAAAAATAAAAGAAACTTTCTTTCCTTACCCAATACTATGGATGTATTGAAATCTACCGGACCAAGATCGATTTGTGGATTTGGTCTAATGAAAGTGAATTAGATAAAAATGGAGAAAATGAAAATCAATGAGTTACTAACCTGCTATATACACGAACCTATTTGATTTAAGAAATAGATTAACGTTAAGAAAAAATTGTATAAAAGTAATTCAAAGAAAAATTGTGAAGAATGACTACCAATAATCCCAAGATGTCAAAACCGGTCTGCGAGTAAACTATCCCACAGCAGCCTAATTATTTAATTAGCAATTAGTGAGAATATTTGCAAGTAAACAAACATTAATGTTACCTGTAGCAAATGAACTAGGCGTAGGTAATCGAGCTGGTAATGATAACTGTTGCGAATCGGAAGACAAGTAACCATTGTGAATTCGTGGTTTTTTTGATACGCCGATGGGTTCCATTGCACTCGTATCGATATTTGCGATATCAAACACTTTTTTGTTTGCTTGAACATTGATCTTGTTGTCATTGTCGTAGTTATCATTGCAATTATTATTACTTGTGTTGGTAGAATCGGTCGCATAGAGGTATGGTGGTAGAAGAGTTTCGGTTGCTGGTTGTCGAATAGAGACCGGCCTATAAAGAGTATCGTTAATATATTATTAAAAGTGACTAATGATAGCATGATCGTATCAGTAAGTCCGAGTCGAAACGATTTGCGTACAATGAAAGATATGAAAAGTCTAGTGGTATTGGTTCATTTACTGATGTATTAGAAATATGAGGATAAAATTCTTGTTGTTGTTGTTGTTGTTGTTCTTGTTGTTCTTGTTGTTGCTGTTGTTGCCGTCCTTGTTGATAATCCATTGTCACTCTAATAAACTTATTACGAGGAGAGGAAAGACGGCAGAAATAAAGAGAATATAAGCATGTATTTTATGTGAACAAGTAGAAAATTGAATAAAATAAATTGCTGTCACAAAAAAAAGAAACAATATATGAGTTCAAAGGATATAAAAATAAAATCGAACACAAACTCGCGAAAAATCCACGAGTGGTGTTTCGTTGAATATGTTCGTGGTATACAACATGCAAAATACCCCTTTGATTGCACACCAAGTGAAAAACAACAACGTAGAGTTCACAAAATCTAATACATGTAATTGTCACGACTATGCATTATGTAATGCAATATGGGTGGACCCGAGTAAAATCCATTTACAAAATCGGTATCGGTATCAAGTGTAGCTACCACTACCTAGTTTGACTTAACGGTTATAGGATATCGATATATCCCTTAATTAAAGGATCGAATGCGTAAAGTGTAGCTACACTTTGTAAATGGCGAAAAATAGAAATTAAACGTCGCCAGTATAACATTTGTAAAATAACATCGTATTGATTTCAATCTCACATTGGAATACTTATCTTTCGCTTTTGCATCGTCTGTAATCCGTTAAAAGAATTTCAAAAAAAAAAATGGCAGATAGTTTCTCAATTCTTGATTATTTTTTAGATGCTTTAATAAATTTCTTGTAGTCCATTCCATATAAATTAAACCATTTTCTAAGAGTTGAGTATTTGGATCATTATCTTTAAAATTAATTTATATTTCGTAATCAAACACTCATTTACTACCAAAAGTTTACTTTGTGTCATCTCATTTGAACTAGTTGATGACTTGGATTGAAGCATACATAATTTACCAATAAGATCCTAAAGAGTGATTACATAAACAAGAGATTACGTTCAAGATAGGGATAGAAATCGATTCTCTAGAATCGATTAATTTTGTAGAAGACAAAAATCGATTAATATATAATGCATAAATCGTGTAGACAAATGTACAGTAGTTGGAAAATCATGCATTACACTTGTGAAAAACATTGCAAATGTTATGACAAACTACTCTATCATTTAACAAAATATTAATAAAAACCATTGCCAATACTATATAGTGCTCCAACCGGGTCGGGTCCGATCCGTGATCCGACCCGGAACACACATTTCGGGTCGGGTCGGATTGGGTCAAATCCGACTCGAAATATTTCGGGTCAGCCTAAAAAACGTTATTTCTCGTTCAATATTAATTGGAATTAAACGAAAATTTGTGGGTATATACACAATTACATTCCGAACAACTCTACTTAGACACCAAATACAAGTGTCTTAGTAAAATAAACGTTATTAACTAAAAACTATTTTACGATTTGCGGATCAAACCCGATCCGAATCCGACCCGACCCGAAATTATCGGTTCGGGTTGATCTCAAACCCGATCAGACTCGACCCGAACAGAGCTTTAGCCAATACGTATAAAGTTTAATAACTATGATAGTGATACTAGCTAACTGATATTGATCAGCATCTCAATACTTCAACTATTCCGACGAAAAGAGAAAAAATCAACATGCAATAAAAAACAAAATCAAAGGCCAGTCACCGTTATTGCAGATACCCTAGCCATGGCACAAAAAAAAAGTCCTGGTCATGTGATTTTAAGGGGATAAACCAATTAAACGCAAGATATAAAAATATTAATAATGTTTTAGTTAGGATTAAGATTAGGGTTAGGATTAGAGTTAAAATTATATTATATTGCACACACAAATTTATAGTAAAATTTTGCAAGAAACATTTTTGTTAAAACACAAATAGTAGTTTCATGAACAAAATTTCAAGATATAAGCTATTTTCAAAAATAAGTATTTGTTTTGAATTTTTTCATTACATATTGATCTTGTGATTTGATTGGTTTATCCTCTTAAAATTATATGATCCAGACTTTTTTTGCCATGATTAGGATACTTCGTTATTGTTATTATCATCGCATCACATCATCATTATATATGTACTGTGCTCAAGAATCGATTTTGGATTAAAAATTGATTCTTATCCCTATATCAAATTCTTTCACAACTTGCACGCAAATATTGACAATTACTGTCATGTTGATTGATATCAGTTCTATTTTTAGATGTAAAAAACTTAATTACACATGAACAAAATTGATTAAAATATATCTACTTGAGATTAATTCTCAATTGAAAATCGATTAATCAAATTTATTTAAAATGATTAATCAATTAATCAAAATTATTAATTAATTTTAGAATCAATTCTGGTTGAGAATTAATTCCTATCCCTAGTTTAAGAGTTAATATTACCATTACTGATAGGCTGACATGATAGATAGTTAATTATATGTACATATATGGGAATCTGTTAAAGCAGAGTAGTGCCAGCCACAAATAATATCACACATTCATTCATTGGTCGATTAAATTGTAGATATGTTATGGCATGATGCATTTACTAATTTTCATCAAAAGTTTTGATTGGTTGAGGATATTAATAATTAGTTTTAGCATTAGAATTAAGAGTTAGGGTTAGAATTGGAGGAGAGATTATATGTGAAATTGTCTTCCTGTCATTTTTTATTAGTGCTTCAAGCCAGATTTATCCGTATTTTTTACAATATTCATCTTTTTAATTTTCTTGTGTCAGGTTTGTTTTGCCAGGTCGATCAACTTTTATTGATTAATTTAGAAGATCCGGTGTGCCATTAACCAATCAGTGATAGAAATTACTTGTATCCAATCAAAACTTCAAATGAAAATTAATTATTATAGTCTTTTTATTGGTCAAATTATATTGTTCTTTGGTGAAAGGATAAATAACAATGTAAATACATGTACATCAATGATTGATTCAAGCAAAACTATCTTTAAAAATAGTGTTTAATTAAATGTAAATAGTTATAGCTCTCAATAATAAAATAAACATTAATAATGAAGAATTTAAAAAAAGAAAATTAAAGTATATCAACATTAAACGAAAAATTAAACATCAACAAATTAAAAAATTAAAGTGTATCATGCTTGCTAATAATTGAATTCAAAGAATCCTTTAGCTTAAAAATAAACATCTCAGCTTGCCCAGCATCTCTCTTCTTGGCTTTCCAATATTTATTATGCAACCTTTCAGTCAATTCATTCAATACAAGTCACTGATTTTTCACTCTTCTTTCTTTTTTGATTTGTTTAGGCATCTCTATCATTAAAAAAGTATTTTAACAGAATTATAGCTTTATCAAATAATTATTAATCTGTAAGAGGACTTTTTAATATTGTCTTTCCTTTTTTAAGTTATAACACTTTTTGTGACATCGTTTAAAAAGTGAATGTCTTTGCTGTCCGATACTGTACAACTAATAAAGGTTTACTAAGATCACACACCAACTATTTTGTAGTAGCGGTAGTTTCGCGGAAATTTCAACATAAAACTTGTTCAGGTAAATTTATTTTACAATAAATTATCTAACAGCAGCTTTAATCTCTTCTCATTCAAAACGAAGTTCGCTTAATTGAATTAGCATATGCTCGAAGTATTTGTATTGGTCAGATATTATCTATGCTACAAAATTAAATGCCATTTATTTATTTTCAAAATACTGAAAATCCGAATAATAGTATTTATTGTAACTTCTCGGTTAGAGCATATTATGAGACTTGAAACATGTACGTGCAATAATAAAAAACTAAGTTATGTGCAATTAAATATGTGTTACTGGTGACAGTAATTGAAAAAATTAATACATGTGTAAAATCCAATCATTTGCGCCATCGCTAGTGTTTTTACTACCGTGCACGACACTTAAAAGACTGAAGCAATAGCACATTACACAGAGGTAATACAAAAAAGGCCACCAATCATAAAATCTAAAGTCATCAAACGTTTGTATTTTATAAAATGTATAAACTTCTTTACTAAGAAGTAACTACAAAATTTAATCCGTGAATATGCCCAGAAAAGGTCTATTCTATCATATTCACGGATTAAATTTTGTATTTACTTCTTAGTAAAGAAACTTATACATTTTATAAAATACAAACGTTTGCTGACTTTAGATTTTATGCACCATAGTTAAGCGAATTTGCTATAACTTAGCAGCCTTTTTTTTAAGAAAAAATAGTTCATTCCTGACTTATACGTATTGATTTAAAAATGCCCTGTTTAATCATGTCCAATAAAAAGCGTGACTTGTATTAACCAATCAAATTGCATCAAGTTGTCATCAACCAATCAAATTACATTATATTAACTTTGATTTTATTGGCTGTTGTGTTAATGTAAGAAATTTTTCAAAATTTGGGTTTTTAAATGGGACAAGTCACGTGATTTCAGTTTTTAAGTGTCGCACATTGTTAAAGTTATTATTTATGATTGGAAAAAATCTTCCGCATAAATACCTTTTTTTGTCTAAATTATATACATGAATAACGATAACGATAAGGTTTTGTATTACATACATGTGTACAAATATAAAATAGCGCCATACCTGCAGATTTTTTTCGCCGTAGCCCGAAATTTTATGTTTACCACTTACCATGTTTAATTTAGAAATGTAACGGTAACGGTAACGGTAATATATAACGATAAGAACCTAATTAAATTAAGCTGACTATCTAATTAGATATAATCCAATCCCGATAAAGCTGCACAAATCCAAGTTTGATAATTAATGGAAATAGTAAATCCGAAAGAAGCCTTTTCCAAAATTCGCACTATTTTGATTATATACACATTCGCCTCAAGCTGATTTAATAAAGCATTATATCTTCTATGGGTATATCCAAGATTGGTGCTAGTTTTCCGCATAATCTATTTAAAGAGCTAAGCGTATTTTTAACAATCTAAAATTGAAACCACAAAATGATTAGTGCCTTATAAAAAGAATCGTAATCAAATAAATCGACGATTTCAATAAACTTTTTTCAAAGTTTGATAAGCTTATTATTGTGGATTCTAAGGTTTTAATATGTATGACGTATGGATTTATCTCATTTGCAGCAAATTCTGTAAATACTACGAGTACAGTGGCTCACACATGTAACCGACCACGAAAATTAACTTTCTAGCATTTTTATTTCCATGACTATTAGTTTGGACAAAATAAAAAAAGTGTTCATTTGAAA